TTACCACGCCCACAGCATGCGCTTCATGTTTGTCAGGAGCCTGCATACATTGCCAATGAGGACAGTAGCTGGTATATGGGCGTCCCCGATATTGGGAACTTCCACAGACTTCCACACCCACTATGCAACTTCCGCCGTCCAATCTTGCAGGACCACAGTTTTCTACAGCAACCCGAACATTCCCAACCACCAATGTATATTCTGTCATTGAGGGGTCCCCAACTTACAAACAACGGAGACGACGGTCATCGATCTCTTCCAGTATCACTAATGCCATTGCAGCGGCAACGGGACATGCCCAGCAGCATTCTAACCCGTCCCACGGCCACTCCCATGCCCATGCTTATTCTGTGACCCAACCAAGTGAGCTTCGCCGTTCCATGTCCAGCTCTGTCCCGGCAGTTATGGAAGGGGAGGAGTCAAACGTCGACTCGCCTCCAGGCCTAACCAATAGTTTCACATCTACCGTTGTGAACCAAAAGGATCTGCTGCATGAAATATCTCGCACGGGTACTCCACTGCCAAGTTTGGAGGAAAGCCCCCGCGAACACCAGGTGTCTATGATCCAAGGCCCCGATGAGCTGTCATCGTTACCTAGCGGCGACCAACTTGGTAAGTCTGTTGCCGCGAACTCAGCCAATTGGAAGCCGGATCGGCCAGGCCCCGTTCGTCGCGCCCGCAGTGCTACCATGATGGAGCTTGGCCCTTATCCTCAGAAATCACATTCATGCCCCATCCCGTCATGTGGTAGGTTGTTCAAGAGACTCGAGCATCTGAAACGGTAAGTACTGCTAATTTTGATTTGGAGCCTTTGTGTGGCTCAAATGCTGTCGAGTTTTAAATTGTTTTCTAACCGCCGAGTTGCTGACTGGGCGCCTAGACACGTAAGGACCCACACTCAAGAACGCCCCTACCCGTGCCCATACTGCAACAGGGCCTTTTCACGGTCGGACAATCTTGCCCAGTATGTTTCACTTTTCTTTTTCTCACTTCAGACTAGCTAAATATAGTGCCACAAAGTTTTGTGAGGAGCTACCCCCGCTAACTAACGTCGTTGCTGTTTTTGCAGACACCGCCGTACCCATGAAACCCAGCAAACCGGGCAACAGGTTGTGGCCAGCGACTCGGATGAGGATCGCGAGCAAGAGCACGAGGAGCACGAGCCTGCCGGGTCTTCGCCAACCTCTTCATCTGACCCGCACAACCACAGCCACACCATCCACAGTAGCAATACCAATCGTCAGCACCGTAGCAGCAGCAGCAACAACAACGACCACAACCACAACAACGGCAACAATAACTACATGGCGACCGGCATAGTCAACATGGCCAATGTAACCTCCCTGCCGTCGTCTATGGTCATGCAATCTGGCTTACCCACTATGGTAACGCCACAGATGATAGCTAGAAGTGGGTTGGTTTAAGCTAGATAGTTAGACTACGTGTTTTCTCTCTTACATTTCTTCCGCTTTGCTTGCCTCTGCTCAGCCCTTTTGGTATCTATCCCTTCCTCCATCGCGAGAGATGGTAGTTTTGGAACAGCGGTGTTGCCTGTTGCCTCTTTGGCTGTGGATCCGGAATGTTTGATGTTTTCCATTTTGGCTACGCTTGCTGTTTTTATATAGAGATGGAATCGGTTTATGTTAGCTGCTACTACTGCAACTGCTGTTTTCTTCGTTTGTCTTTCCGTTTCCCCTCAAATAATGCTTAGGATCCGTATCTTATCCATCCTATTGTCTCTTGGGTTTTTCACTTGCGGGATTTTGGCCTTATGACTTCTCTTTCCAATATATACATATATATATTTTATATACATGACTTTTCCGCCCGCCCCCACTTCTCTACGGCCCAACTTTTTTCTCTATTTTTTTTTTTTTTTTTTTTTTTTTTTTGAAGAAATTTGATGTATTTTTTCTGTACTTGTTGTATTGTTACAAGAAACTGCTTTCCTGGCCCCTTCAGCAACAACCTTAATTGATCGATTGGTTTTAGACACCAAAAAACGATAATACAGACTTGATTTCATCACCAACGCATGGGCACCCACATATCTACCGTTGAATGCCAGTTTGTGTTAAATGAGACAGAGCGAAGCGAAGTCTCTAAGAATCATACAAAGATTTGAATGTGGGCTCAAAAGTTGCGTGGCTGAAATGATTGGATCTGTGGCTTGAATGTCAATGATCTCGTTGATGTATGTATGTAGAGGAGATTTTTGCATCTCTTGATTGATTTCAATGCCGGATAATCTCCATTTTTATTTATGCACTGGAGACAAGTTTATAATTGACTTAGATATCTATATAGTTATGTATATTTTTACCTCTGAATTATCTGTCGACCTACCCGCCTACCTACCTGCACGATATCTGATCAATTGCTAGTAGAATAGAGAATGCTATCTACCAATCTATCTATCTGCCTGCTTGATATCTGATCAATGTCTATATGAATAGATATTGCTAGCTAGATCAATAGCTATCTGCCTGCCTGCCTGCCTACCTGCCTGCTTGATATCCGATCGATTGTTGATGAAATATAGAGTGCTAGCTAGATAGCTAGCTACTTATCTACCTCCCTCCCTATCAATTAACCTGCCTGCTCAATATCAATTCAATCTCTATGAGAATAAACATCTCCATCTAGCTACCCACCTACCTATCAATGCCAGCTTACTAGCTGACTACCTGCCTATACATCTACTGACCGGCTTGAATGAATGATATCCATTGATGATATCTATTGATGATATTTAGCGATGATATCTGCAATGATGTATATCGATTATATATACAATGGTATCAAGCGATGATATTTAGCAATGATATCTAGTGATCGTATTTATTGACGATGATATCAACATAATGGATAATATGACTTCGCACTCTTGCTGCGTCCTGCCCCAGCTGCTTGCTTCGTGAACCTCCTGCTATAGAGTGTTGTGCCTGAGCTTTCCAACCTTTTGAAGAAATTAAACATTGCCTTCATCTCTGAGATTTAAGAGGTTCATTTGCCCACTCTCAAAAGGAGGAGAGTGATAGGGCAGGCTGTCTCTAGTAAGAACAAACAATGTAATTCTCTCACAAGATTATGAAGCCGTCTGACAAGCTGCAATAATGTGCCAATTACGTCTTTATACATTGTTAAAAGTGTATCTAGATGTTCTTTTCAATTTAGTTAACTTGATAATCTGACTGAAGACAAGAGGATATCAGATAATATAGTTAGATGATTGAAATAATTAAAATAGTCAAAGTAATCAGAATAACTAAAATGATCAATAAGATAATTCTATAACTAAGTAAGTGAAAAAACTTATATAAAATTGAAAGTTACAAAATTTCAGCTCTCTCAATGCAAACCCTCCTCCAACCAGACACCAGGAACCACAGTTATTGTGGTCATGGCAGTCAAAATAGGCTCCCCGAAGCAGAATTGGTCGCTTGCCCGATCACCCTGCTCACCTGGCGCCATTATTGTGGCGATCGAATTGCTTGCGAAAACAGGAATCTGCCCAGCCACCCTGAATATTAGTAGCAAAACACTGCAAAAATAGCCATTCTATCCACATTTTTCTATAATCATTCAAATAATGTCAAATCAATGTTCAAATCATTCAAATAACATGTTTTTCATACCTTTATCATCAATATGCCACCTCAACTCAGTGATTTCACTACTAATGAGATTTTGCACTTCTTTTTAATGATGGTTATATGTTTGCTGAGATCACCCAGATGATTGAAAGATGGTGGAGCACCGCTGTCGGTCGGACTTTTTATGTTCGCTCAGTCGTCCTCGAGTACGCAAGGGCCTCTCGGTGGTTGGTGTCTCGCGGTGGTGTAGGATGAGAAGTGGAGAAGGAAATGGAAGAGGGACAGATCCACATTCTGGCAGGATGGGTCGAGATAATTAAGGAAGAGGGAGAACGGAAGGACTTGAGGGGGAAACCACGCATATTTATACCTGTAGCGAGAGCACAGCCGCCTCACAATCACAAGACCAGTCACGGCTGGGACAGGGGGTTGGCGGTGACCTGCAGCAATGTCTCCAAGGAGAGAAATGGGAGAACCGCGCCGGGGAAGGAGGCCAAAGGCTCCATCGGCGCCCCCGCAAGCACCCGCGACATCGACCACGGGAACCATAATCTCGATGAGGTTTCCCCTAACGGGTGGGACGATTTCACCGGCGCATTCATCGATACTCGCACCCCGCAGACCTGGGCATTTCCAGGATGATCACCTCCGGCATCACAACGCCTCGATGCAGGTCGCGCCTCAGATATTGCTTCATGTTGGGTGTTTTCGCTTAGAGTAGAGACACCATGGGCTCGAGCACAGAGGCGAAGCCAGGCCCACCTTTTCACTGGCACACATGGTTGGGTGAAGCTCGGCCTTTCTGATGCATGCCACCCCCTTGCTCTTTGTCCCCGGCGCTATCGATTGTAGGAAAGGGTTTGGCGGTTTGTCGATTCGACTTCATGGTGCATGGCCAGGGGGAAAAAGGGGGGTTGGATTAGGTTGACTGGTCGACATTGACTGGACGAGAGCCAGGTTGGCATGGGGGTGTGGCCAGGAGCACGTCTGCGTTGGTCCACCCCATCAATGCAACATCCCCCGGTTCAGCGGCTTCTTCAGTATGGATGATTGGCGATCCATGCAAGATGCATCTCAGCTACTATTTTTCCGTTGATCATGGGACATATAAAGACCTCCAGTGCCTCCTGGATTAAGATCGAGGGGAGAAGAGCACCCCATCATCTCATCTTGCAACATGGCTACCTTCAAGTATGATATCACCTCCCCTGGACCTGCCGACAGTTCTCCCTCGCCTCAGCTGCACACAGTGCACCTCCTGGAAGTGTACACTCCTGATCCTCGGTCAAACAAAGAGCCCTAGCACCTCCTTCCAATGCCCATACCTATGCCTGTGCCCCTCTTCTCTGCGTCGGGTGACCTCTTTAAGAATGCAGCAAGTGAGATGTTTGCTGATTTTTTTGCACTGCCATCCACTGTCTCTGGTCTCAATGACATTAGCTGGGACGAATGGATCCTGTTTGACATCTCCTCAGTTGATGTCCCCTTCACTGTCACTTCAACTGTCGGATTTCTCCGACGACCCAATCAAGGAGGCTCACCCAAGCCTGAGCAATGTTGCCAATGACCTACCCAATTGATGAGAGCCAACTCCTCCCCTGGCCTTCAACTATCTAGAAGGCAACACATCGAAGGAGCTGTTGAATTACTCCGATGATTCCATCGAGGCTGACCCACGCCTGGGTGAGAGGAGGGAGACGCTAGATAAGCAGGAAGATATTATCATGCCTCCTTCTCAGGTGAAGATACTGAAGCTGGTGTATAGGTGAGACAGGGATGAGATGTACCAGATAGTAGGACGGATAGATTTACATGAAACACGCAGATATGGCATACAAGGAAAACTGTGAAAGTACTCAGGTTCTGCTGTCAGGCATGCTTCTGCACTGGTTCAGGCGCAGATGTAAGGCTCAGCGCCCGCTCTGTGAAAAACATTTTTCACATGTCCCTCACTCTTGCAGAAGACCCATCATTGATGAGCCAATGAGTCCCAACCTGCTTAGCGACTCTGATCTGTTTGTCGCCATTCCACCTTCAATGAAATATAAAGAGGGTTCCCGGGGGTTACGAGGTGTATGCCAAGATGACATTGGACGATTTGCAGGAGCATGGAGGGTTGGAACTGCTGGCAGCTTACTGGGGTAACAATTGTCGTTGGAACGAGGTCACGTGGATTATGTCAGCGAGTTGCTTAGTTAACGTTAATTGTTTTGTGTAACAATTGAAGGTCTCTTCATTCTCTTCAGGATCTTCGTTTTCCTTTTTTGTTTTCTATGTTTGGTTTCTTCATTTTGTTTCACTTTACTTTTTCTTCTTCATTTTATCTATCCTGGCCGGCACACGCATTTCCAGAACTTGGAAATCCCACTTCGGATACAATCTCCTCAAACCGTATTTCGAGAGAACGCCCAGACCTCTCCCTCGGAATTCTCACGACGCCTGCTTGAAGAACCCACGTTGACCAATTTGGCTGACAAGTCATCGCTTACTTCGAATTAACAAGTACATACGAATTTCTTCAAACATTGTAGTATTAAACATGACACGCGCCACTAAATTACTTAGATATGAAAGCGTTCACCCTCTGTTAAACAATATTTCTAGCCATCATGCAATAGAGAATAGCCACCTCTGCCACAAGAAATTCTTAGCATTAACTTTTAGAGAATTGGCTTGCAGATCTTTTTGGCATGCAGACCTTTTTGGCATGTAGATCTTTTTGGCTTGCAGATCTTTTTGGCTTGCAGATCTTTTTAGCTTGCAGTTTTGACTTGCATATCTTTTTTGCTTTTTTAATAGTTAATTTAAGCTTGCAGATCATTTTTCAT